TCCTGCCACATCCGGGGCATTGCTGCCCCTCCCGCTGCATAGCCGCCCCTGCCGCAGGCCCCGAGGAACAGGGAGGTAGGCCCCATGCAGGCTGCTATGCCCTGGGCCACGGGGGCTTGGCAGCGTAGTGGGTGCTTTGCCCCAGACTGTTGGGGCTCGGTGAAACTGGAAGTGTCACAGTGGGCACTTCCGGTTTTGCTTTTACCTTACAAGACAGCATGCCGGTTAATAGAGCATGCTGGCTTGTAAGGTGCCGGATAATGCAGCTTTACTGTAATTGGTCTGAGAATATAACAATTTCAGAAGTAACAAGAATCTTGAACCATGGCTGAATGAATGTCTGTTATTAACTTAGATCTGAAATGTTACAAGATGGACTTCAGTACGCTGCAGCAATATTTTCCACACCTCATGGGTTTACACCCAACAGTATAGAAGTTCAGCAGTCTTGTACTGCCTTTGTCACTGCTTCCAGTTGTTGCCAGTTATCCTCTGCTGCCAGTTGCTCTTGATGCTCATTGATGTGCAGTTGGTTGTGGGGGAAGTGGCAGCGGCAGCTAAAGTGAGGAGGTTGGGGGGAACTGCAGATTTGCCATTGTGATTTACATGGGTCCCCCTTAATAACTTTTTATGCTTCCCCAGGGAAGTACACCGTACACTTTTGGAAACGCTGCACTAGAATAAAAACTTGAATGAAGAAACATTCACTCTCCATGAAGAGCACCTTCATAATTACACTGGAGCCAGTAGTTGTTGCACATTATTTTCATGCTAAAAAGTAGAAATTTAAGATGCATGTTATTTGAAGTGTTTTATTTTGTGTAGCTAGTGCAGAGCAAAATATCTAATAGTGAATGCTTACTGTATGCACTAATGTTTATACCAGTGCTTCCTAACCTTTTTTTGCTGCAACCCTCTGCTGGGAGCGGAGTGTGGTGGCAACCCGGAGGCAGGGGAGCTCCCAGCACATCCTTTGTGTGCAGTGCTATTGGCATAGCCCCCGTGACCCTCATTTGGGGTTATACCAATAAAGAGATTTTGCTTCCAGATTAAATATCAGTAAGGCTGTATAATCTAAATATGAATGTTCAGAAAAGTTTGTAAACCTATCAGTCTAAATTCAAATCATGGTAATTTTTTTCCTTTAGAAGCAATACAAGGAACAGAGAAATTCTGCAATTTTAAAAAACAAAGCAAAAAATTCTCTCATGTTCTGTAATGCTTTTTACATGATCATTCTTGTAGGTAAGAAATTTATTTATAAAACAATATATATAAATCATCAGTGTAACTATGTAAAGATTTTTCAGTTACTCTCCTTAACTCCTCCCCTCCACTACTGTATAACAGTGAAAATAATGGGAGTAAAAACTGTTAAACTTCTGTAGGTAACTATGGCTTGAGCTTGCCGCTTGGAGAAGAATATGAACGAAAAAAGCATAAACTAAAGGAGGAACTCCGACAAGATTATAGACGATATCTTTCTCAGGTAAAATTTTTGGCTTGTGGCCTGAATTTACTCTATCTTTAACCAATACAGAAAACCCTCTCAAATGCCTTTTTGAGAAGACTGGATTTATTCTGAGCTGTGGAAGTATCTAGAGAATTATTTTCGAGTCGTATCAGCAGGTGCTACATGTTGTAGTTTTTCACAGATCCTGGTGCCCCAAGATCTTATTTTATTCTAATAAAAATTGTTTAAATATAAAAACAAACAAAACTTATTTTTTTCTGTCTCCTTTTTCCTTTTTGACTATTAACTGATGAGGCAATTACTTAAGTAGTTTTCCATATTAAGCCTGAGCAGGTTGGGCAAGATATGTATTTATTTAGTCAGAAAATTGTCTCATTTTTCAGCTTTTACAATTCCACTTATTTTAGTATAACAGAAGGTTGCTGTTGGTCTTAGTACAGTTTAGGAGATTATTAAACTTGATCTTGTATGGTTGAAGGCCTGGCATAATCTCCATCTTCGTTTGGAATATTCTAAATCTAGTCCAATCTAAATCTAAAGTGAAAAATACTCAGATCCCTTATCTTCTGCTGTTTTGTAAGCATCTATTACTGTTTTGTATCATTGTGAATTGACACTGAAAAAGGTACATACAGTAGTTGTTTTTTTTTTTTTTTAATACAATCAAGTGGTGGTAATGGAAGATATTTCATGAATAGTATGTTTTCCCTGACTTTTAGGGTATTTCACAGGCTAAAAGAAAGGTAGGGTGCCTGCAATATGTTGTTTTTTTCCTCCCCTTAAATTTAGTAGCTTCTTCCTTTGCTTCAAATGAGCTGTTTTGCTGACTTGGGTTAAAATAATTTGTTTCTGTGCTTTTGTGCATTTGTGTGCGCTGTAGTTGTGATTAATTGTATTTGTATGCCTGCTTTCTGCAAAATGACATGCTATGCTTTTTAACCTTCTGTATAATTTTACAATATTTGTTGATTTTTGTTTATTTTGGTTTTGGTATTACCCTTGCATTTGCTTGTATTGCTCTATCATGTTGATTTAAAAACAGTGTTTTTATGGTAGATATTTTTGCTACAAGGCACACCACTCTTCATTCTTAACATTAGATGGGCAGTATAAGTTAAAAATGTTTTTAATGGACTTATTCCAGAAAACAGCATCTTGGAAGAATCACTTGTTAGTGAAGTATGTCCTGAAGTTTGTAAAATGCTTTAAAAAAACCAAACAAACCCTTCAGGGCTTTTTCTGCTCCTCTGTCATAGTAAGTATCACATCAGCAAGACAGAAATTGACACCTGAGGAAAAAACAGTGGAGCTGATATCCCACAAACTTTGGTACCAAGTATAGCAATTAACAGAATTTGAGAGGGAGAAGAAAATTATTGCCAACCCTTTTCAATTAACTTAAGCATAACTATAGTTGGTACAGAATTTTTTTTTAACGTAGTGATGTCCGTTTTAAATCATAGAAGTAGAAGTAATTAAATAACTTTAAATTTAACTAATGTGGGGTTGGAGTGTTGTAGCTATGATGGTCTGTAAAATACCTTGTTTCTTTCTCAGATCTGAAGAATGGCACTTCATGCTTGAAAACTTGTCTAACATATCTATCCCGGCTATGCAGTTGGTTCAGTAATAGATAATTGCCACACACACCTTGCTTTTCTTAAACTAAAAATTTTTGAATGAAGGATGGGTGGGATAGTAAAAAGAGTAGTAGAAAAAGACTAAATGTGTACAGGGTTTCACCCCACGAAATACTGTCTGAAACCATTTATGTTTTAATATGTTTATGTTAATGACTGCATTGACACATGCCAGAAGTATGATACAAAAACAACTGCAATAGTTGGCTTTTTAAATTCTGATTAAGTAATCTTTATTAGACAATCATTGATATTTTTTTCTTTCCCTTAGTTTGAAATTCAGATACGATTTTAAACTAATCTGATAATATGGAAAATAATGCTGTTTTAATAATGAATTGTTTTATTTTCATTTGAAATATCAATAGTCCATTTCATTTTTCTTTAATTTTCATATTTAGTACTTTGATCTTGAGCTATTAAGAAATTAACAATTTACTTTGTATCTTGCATATATTAGGCATGTTAAACTCTTACAGTTTATGGAGGAAATTAGATACTGATCTCTAGTTTCGTCCTCCAAAGTAAGTTGATATGGTGACAGCCTCGCAGAACACTAATGCTTTCATTGGTAACCTAATAACTGTATGCATACACAGAGAGCAGTTTCTAAGCTAAGTGCTGACTATCTACAAACATCTTGTTAAAAGTGGGAAGTTATAACTAGTCCTGTTTTAAATATGCCAGTAATTAAACACTGGCAAAGATTACAATTAATACATTTAAGTTTTTTAAACAAAAATTTCAATAAATAATTCCTTCTATTAACCTTACTCGTTGTCAGTATCTGGGTGTTTGTATAGTTGCTAAATCCTCTAAATCCATGAAGTTGTTATATGTCCTATATGGGTATTGACTGGAACAGACGGACAGATTTTTCCTGTCCTTTTGTATGCCAGAACAAAAGAAAACTTTATTATAACAGAACAAAGGAAAACTTTTCTAACAAAATAAGACATCTGATTTTTGAAACACTATTAACTTAAAAACACAAAGACAATATTTTTTTATCTAAAATAAATTATCAATTTAAGATCTACCAAATGTGGGTTTTTTTAGGGAATTTAGTAGCTGCTTTTAATAAGCCATTTAGTCCTGAAGGCTTATCTTTGGAAAGTTTTAGCCTTTCTTAGCTGGCATTAGACATTTTGACAGGCTGCAGCTCTTATAGTTTTGATAACAGATATTGGTAATCTTGACATAGAAACATTACTGTGTGATTAGTTATTGGAGATCTCCATCATTGGCAGACCCCCAAATATTCAATTTGGGATCGAGATGAACCTGATAGGATATCATTTACGCATAAATATCAATGAAACTTTAACTCCTGTTTTGTTTTGCTTTTGTTGGCTTGTATTCCAAAAATATCCTTCATAAGGTTGCCTTCAGTTCGCTGTATTTTATTAAAAATAATTATCCTGATATATTTCAGGAGATGTAATTGCGAAGTGCTATGTTGTATGTTTGCTAGCAAGGAAAAATTGGTTGTTCAAAATGTATTGAATCAGTCATTTTTGTTATGCAGAAAAATTATTTGACTACTGCTGAAGTAGATCCATATACTCAGGGACTATCTCTTCCCATTGATGAGAGAAGATCTGCCAAGGTACGTGTACAGAATAAATTAAGCTGCCAGTGCTGTGGAAAAAGAGGCTTCCCAGTTAACAACAATTAACCCCCCCCCCCCCAACTACCACCACAATTCCTCCTTTTTACTTGCATATGAATGTGCTCCTTTGTCATTAGGCTAAGTTTAAAAATAAGTGAAACTTTTTAAAATTTATAATAGGTTGTTTGGCAAGTAATTATCAAAATTCTCCTTTATTGGAGAATGTGTACATTAACTTGTAGGTAATTTTAAATTTTGCTTTGATGGTATACCTGATTCTGGGCTAGGACCGGCACATGGTGTTATTACTTGTCTGACCTTAATATCCAGAAGACTTGGTCATAAACTGGGACCCCATTGTGTTATATCCTGCTTACAAATGTAGAACAAAATGATAGTCTCAGCCTCAAAGAACTTACCTTTCAAGTTTGTTTTCCAGGTCACTACCAGTTACACAGTTCTTTCCAGAGACACGTCTATGTAGAAAGTACAAGGTGCATCGAGCTTCATTTCCTATAAATATGTGGATTTTTTGTGGATTTATGTATAAATATGTGCATTTTTTGGTTTTATTTCCTTTTCATTATGGCCTAGGGAAAAGGTTGTTTTTGTAGTCTTTAGTATTTATTGGGTCTACAGATGGACAAAACACTACCACAGTCAAGAATATACTATACCAAGTAATGATTTTTTTCTCTACGCATAGCACACATGCTTTGGATTTGATAGTGACACCTAAATAATTCAGGCAGGTACCTAAAGAAGGATCTCCTAGACGAGAAGGACTAGGAGGAGTGGCCTCAAACTGCAGCAGAGTAAATTTAGGTTGGAGGTTAGGAGGAACTTTCTAACTATGAAGGTAGTCAAGCATTGGAACAGGCTACCTTGAAGTTGTGGATACTCCATCCAAGAGCAGGTTGGATAGACACTTGGCTGGGATGGTTTAGTTGGGGATGATCCTTCCTTGTGTAGGGGGGTTGGACTGAATGACCTTGTGAGATCCTTTCCAGCTTTACTTTTCTGTGATCCTATGAACTCAAAACCATTAATACAGCTATCCTTCGTACTTTTAGTCTTACAGCAAGACCAAACTGCTGGAAGGTGGCAGTCTGTGCAGCACTGATTAATTAGTAACTAGTGATTTGACATTGATACTTGGATTTCTGCATTCCCTACAGTATAAAGTCTTCTAGTTTTAATAGTCATTTAGTGTATTAAGTTCCCTATTCAGCAATATTGCCAACTTTATGACTACTTAAAGTCAACACTGGTGTTTTATAAAAGCTGTTTCTCAACTGAGGAAAGTACTTTTCAGGCAACCTTCATGGTTGCCCACAAGTCTTGCATTATCATAGGTGGAAAGATTGAAAATTTAGCTGGTAGAATATCAGTTTCATTCACAAAACAATTGTTAAGATCCTAGACCCATGCAGATGTCCGTTTGAATAAATGGAGATATGAGCTCTGGTTGAAACCTGTATCTTGGGAGGGCAACTGAATTGGCATGTACTATTCGTATATGAGTAACTTATTCTGAGTAGCTAAGTGACACAGCAGAAAAAAATACTGACCTAGGTAGGGACAATACATGGTTCATGAAATTGTAATGCAAATAAAAATGAAGAACAAAAATATTTAGGTTACAGATAAGGATTAGGCTCTCGCTCTACTGAGGCATTCACTGTTCTGAAAGCTGAGGGTAATAGTCTCAAGAAATAATTTTGACAGCAGTTTATTTTCTGCTGGAGACTGTCTATGTTTATATTATCAGAGAATTAATCATTTCCATTTATTTCAAGTTGTGTTGGGGGGTAGATGCTTCTGATTATTGTCACCCTTAATATTTACATGTGTGCATACATGCATGTACATGAGGAGAGGGAATTGGTAATGTTTCCCCTTTATTCTTTTCTTTCTTTCTCTCTCTCAATCATACTTGCATGTCCACTCATGGTTTGATAGCATGCATATATCTTTGCATCACTCCTATGTGTGGGGCAGCAATTATTTCCATCTTACTTCTGGCAGGCCTCCCTGGACTATAGAACTGCTGCCATCACTCCCTCCCACCCATCTTCCCCTCTGAGGGAAGGGCTGGGTTAGAGCCCAGGCACCATCTTGGCAGTCTGAAACTATTGTTTCCCATCTGTGGGTTGTTTGTTGTAAGCTGTTCCAAGTTTAGGATGGAATACAAATCTAATAAATAAAATAAAACTGACAGATGGAGAAACGGAGGCATTGGGAGGCCACATGACTTGCCGAGAAGCCTTATGGCAAAACAGGGACTTGAACCCAGCCTTTCCAACTCCTAAGTGAGCAATCTAAATACTGAGCTATTCTTCCTCTGTTTGTTGCTTCTTTGACCCCTGGCACATGTTCATTTAAAGATATAATGGGATCTGATCCCCGGTCCCAACAGTCATGCCTTCTGTCATGCCACACTTGCATGGCAACAGTTGTGATTTTTGTAATCAGGGATATTGGATCCTAATTATGCCTTTCTACTTATCAGTACATGGGAACCCCAGGAATTGGCTGACTGCATGCCCCTGAATGCACTGCAGCCTGTTCAAACCCCCAGTGTGATCCCTAGGTGGCCAAAAACTGATCGTATGATCACAGGGTCATGTAATCCAGCCCCCTGCTTAAGGGAGGATTATCCCTGACTTAAACTGTTCCAGCCAAGTGTCTTGAAATTTCCAAGGATGGAGATTCCACAGTTTCTCTATGTATCCTGTTCTAGTGTAGACTATCCTCCTAATCTCCAACCTAAGTTTGCTGTGCTGTAGCTTGATGCAAAAGCTCCTAGTCCTGTCCTCTATGGCCACAGAAAAAAACCCGTCTGCATCCTCCCTGTAATAGTCCTTCTGCTGTTTGAAGACTGTTATAAAATTCCCCCGCCCCCCCGTCTTCTCTTTCCCAGACTAAATAATTCTAGTTCTTTCAGCTGTTCTTTGTAAATCTTGCTTCCCAGGCCCCTAATAATTTGTGTTCCTTTGCACTGAACTCTATTTATTTATTTATTTATCTCTTTCCACATCCTTCTTGAAGTATGGGGCCCAAAACTGGATATAGTATTCCACATGAGGTCTCACTAGTGCGGGTTAGAGCAGAAAAACAGCTTCTCTTGATTTGCAGGTAACACTCTTGTTAAAACAGTCCAGTATGCTGTTGACTCTTTTTGCAAAAGAGCTCACTGTTGGCTTCCACTCAGCTTATGGTTCATTGTAACCCCCAGGTTTTTCTCTGTAGTCTAGCTGGTTATTCCCAAGTGTATTTGTGTATGCAGTTATCCAAGTGTAGGACTGTCCATTTGTCCTGATTTTTGTTGCTGGCCCAGATCTGCTTCATATTCAATTTAAGGCACCATACAAACCAGCCATAAAAATATTCCATGTTATAGGATGCATGGGTAGCATGATTGCCATTTATGCTGCAATTAATATTAATTGTGATTTAAAATAATGTGCAGAAAGAGCCTTTATGCATGTGGGAAGTTTAAAATCTGCCCAACTTTTCCCCCAGGAAAACAATTTAGGGGAGATACAGAGCCAACTGTGCAGGAGTGGCAAGGATAGACCTAGCTTTGCCCTGTTAGCTGTATGCTGCTCTGTTGGAAGCAGAGGAAGGACATGCTCCTTGTGGCAGGTCTCTGTGCTGCTATGTGGAGGTTGGATTCTCCTGAGCCAACTCCCCTGCCACAACTTATGGGAAATGAACTCAATTCCCTTGAATGATATGTAGATCTTCCTGCTGGCTTGGGTTCCCCTCCTGTATCTCCTACGGGGCTCCTCCTCCCCTATACCCCACTCCTTTTCTCTTAGGTGTTCCAGTGGATCACAGGCTGCGCTTGGGTCTTGGTCTGTCGATTGGAGCGCTTCTGGGTGTTGTCTCAGCTACGGCTTCTGGCTGTGCGGTACTGTGATTAGAATGGAAAGGCTAACGCAACAAAAATGAGTAACTAAATGTCACTCAACGTGGGCAGGGCAGGGCTCTGTTGCCCCATACTGAGCTGTTCCCAAGCACTGGAATGTCAGGGAGGGTTTTCTCTGTCTTCACCCTTTTTACTCCTCCCTCTTTTGGTATCCCTTGTTCTTGGGGCTTGCCATGGACATGCTTCATGCATGGGCTCTGAGCATGAGGCTGCTGGGGTGCTGCAATGCATTGCCAGTGAGGTCGTTTCTCACTAAGCCCTGGGTGGCTCTTCCCCATGAGGGCCTGCCTGGACTCGCATGGGCTTCGGCTGGGTGGGAGTTGCCTGGCCTGGGGCTCAATGCTGCACCGAAACGGGAGCCTAGTCAGGCACTTAACTCAGTTTGCCTCTGGCGCTGAGGGCTGGGCCAGCTTTCCTGACTTACAGTCTAGTCATGGTATCCATGGTGACAGGGGTAGAGGTGTTGACAGCAATGGCGATGGCAGCAGTGTCTGTAGCAGTGAGCATCTGGTGCTGCTGGCCCTGGCTTGGGTGCCTGGCATCCTCCACTCTGGGCCCAGTTCCGGGGCGGTCTTTTATGGTGTGGCTGCTGTGCTGTGCCCCAATCCAAGTCAAGCTCGCTTGGCTGCACAGCGGCACCTGTGCTGCACATGGCCCAATCACCTGTGGCGTGGGGATTGCATACCCCCTCCTTGACCAATGCTATCAGTGAAACCACACATTAATACTGACTTTTTAAGGATTTTTTTTGTTATTTAGATTTGTATCCCGCAACATCCAAAAGGTTTAGATGGCTTATAGTAAAGAAACAACCCAAGATCGGATTCCCTAAACAATACTCTGTGGCACTCAGAGCCACTCAGCTGGCTAGCTTGCCCCTGCTCTAGTTTTTGTGAACTGCCATCCCTTGATGGAACAGACACTTATACAGGAGGCATCCTGAGCCTTGGAATGGCATTTTGTTTTTGGCCACCTGCCTCCATCCTTGGTCTAGACCAGTGGTTCTTAACCTGTTAGCCATAGTGGGCCACAGCTACAGCTGTGTCTGTTACATGGGCCACAC